ATTAATTTTTGTACAGTATTATCATTTTTGGTAGCTTTTTCTACCGCATACACAATTTCTTGACTTTGTTTACTTTGTTCCTCTATTTTTGTTAATCTAGATAATGTATCTGCAATATATATTTCGCAACCTGGTTTATACACTACATTTAAATTATATCGCTGTAATGACAATAACGTTCGTTGTAACCTTCTAGGAATGATAAAAAAATCTTTTTTGAATATTGATTGCAGAGGTTTGTGATCACTTTCAATTGTCACTATAGGTTGTCCACAAATATACTGATCAAATTTTTTACAAGCGTATACAATTGCTAAACATTCGGTTTCGGTTAAAACTCTAGATGCAAATGCAATAGGAAATTCGTCTTGAAGTATACATGCACCCAAACCAATATTACTTATAATCATATAACAATACTAGCATAGCATTGTAGTGTTATATGTTATGTTGTTTAAAATATCTTAAAATCGGTGCTTGAGATATTAACGTTTTTAGTTTTTTAAAATTTTCTTCTTGTTTATTGGCCCAATAAAATTTTTTATTTCGTACTACCTCTCTTAAAGGTTCTGTAATATCTGACATTTGAGGAATATATCTTCCTAGGTATGTACACATTCCTAAAAATCGTTGGATATCATCTATAGTTGATGGTTTAGGTAATTCTGTAATACATTTAATTTTGCCTGGATCTAGTTTCAATCCGTTTTCAGTTAGTTAATGTCCGAAAAACGGAAATTCTTTTAAACATATTCGGCATTTTTCTTTGTTTAATGTTAAATTCTTTTCTCTTAAACGTTTCAATAGTGCTTCTAAATTTAAATTGTGATCAATTATTGCTTCTTCTTTAGTATTTCCGGTACCATAAATTAAAATATCATCTGCTATTACTTCTATACCTTTCAGACCTTGCAAAATTTCTTGTTGTTTTCGTTGATATATTTCTGGAGCAGGTGCTATACCAAATGGCATTCTTTTCCAGAAGTATCGACCAAATGGAGTCCAAAAAGTTGTAAGTAGAGAACTTTCTTTATCGAGCTCAACTTGCCAAAAACCATTTTTAGCATCAAGTGTTGAAAATACTTTAGCATTTGCTAATTGCGGTAAAATTTCGTCGACAGTTGGTATTTGATGCCTTTCCCTTTTGAGAGCTTCATTTAGGTCCGTTGGATTGAGTCATATTCTTAATTTATTATTTCGTTTTACTAACACCAAATTACTGATCCACTCTGTAGGTTGCTCAATTTTTTGTATTACACCCTTGCTTTCAAGTTCATTTAATTTAGTTTTTAGATCCTTTTGTAGAGCTAATGAAATTCTTCTAGGTTTTTGTTGTATCGGTTTAACTTTTTCATCTATTTCTAAGTGTAGATTTCCTGATATTTTACCATCTCCTTTGAAGACATCATTATATTTTTCTATAATTCTTTTGGCATCTGACGTGGTGACTGTATTTATATTTCCAAATTTAGCTTAAGTTGTACTGAAGTGTCTGCATTCAATAATGTTTTATGTTTCATTGACACGACTTCAAATTTCTTTTTAACTACATTATCATTGTGACGTAATGCAACCATGGTATAGGTTTAATTAACTGACCTCCAAAGCACCTTAAAATAGTCTGACTTTTATTTAAATTTAAATTTTTACCTTTAATTTTGATCAAATCATCCTAATTTATAATGTTTGTTCCTACACCCGTGTCAATAATGCATTCTATCATCATATTTTTGCTGTCTTCTTTTTGAAAATAAATATTTGCTGTATTATTCTTAGAATTTCCACTAAAATTAGTTGCCGTTGTATAATATAAATCTTCAGTTTCAGTCTCTGTGCTATCATCACTGCAATTTTCCGCTAAATTTACAGCTTTCCTTTCATAGCGTTTTTTTGAAGGTGACTTTTGTGACTTTCTAGTTTCACACATGTATCCAAAATGTCCAATTTTTTTACATACCTTGCATTTTTGTCCATATGCTGGGCACGAGTTTTTCTGATGTATTTTCCCACAGCGTCTACAGGTATTCGAATTCTTTTTACTTTTATGTTTTTTAATATATTTTATTTCCTCAATTAGGTTTATAGCTTTTAGTTGTTTATCAGTCTGTTCAGTAATCGCACATATTTCCATAGCCTTTTTTAAAGCTAAACCTGGTTAAATTAATAATTTCTTTCCGATATTATTATCATATAAACCTACTACTAATCTATCTCTAATGAAAATATCTTGACAACTGTTGTACTCACATGTTTTAATTAATTTTCTTAGGGAACATACAAAATCTTCTGTTGATTCTGTAGGTTCTTGTTTAGCAGAATTAAATGCAAATCTTTCATAAATAACATTTGCTTGCGGTTTAAAGTGTTTTTCCAAACCTTCTAAAATCATTTTTGTACTTTTCTTCTGTTCCGATGTTAAATCTAAATTTTGATATATTCTGAAACAGTCAGCTCCAATAATTGATAATAGAACTGCAACCTTTATTTCCGGAGTTTTCTCTTTTAATCCGCAAGCTACTTCATAATTATCCCATGCTGCTTTAAATAAATTGAAATTTTCGACTATGTTGCCTTCTTTTAATACAACAGGTGACGGTGGTGCTATATTAGCAGACGCCATTTTACTTATTAAATTTTATTATAAAACTTAATAATTTTATTAATGAAATCTTTAGTTTTCAAGTTCAAATAAAATAATTTTAAATTATTAAAATTATTATTTTTTTTTTTCAATGGGAAATTTTTGTTTTTCTATTAATCAACAATAAAATAATTTCGATTATTTTTTATTTTATTCTTCTTTTTTTTCTTTTTTTATTATTCTTCAAAAACGTATACCTGACACCATGTTAATATATTGAAAAATAATACCATCTTAATAGATGAGTATTCTAACTTGAACTGGTTTATTATTAATATTCCAAAATAATTATTCTAATTGTACCTAATACAAATGATATAAATATATGTTTATATGTAAATATGTATGTAATTATTGTACCTACATGGGTAGTATAAAGTATTTTAGCATATTATCATAACAATAATTGTTTTGATTTTAATTTTAAAAATTCTATTAATATTCAAATATTGTAAAAGGTCACGAAATCACACCGATTTAAAAGAAAATGTACAAAATTATGTTATCCAGGAGTACAACAATCCTAAAGAGGGAGGAGTTACATATCCAAAAGCAACAATATGTAAAATCACTCCCAATCTATAAATATAAAAATAAACATATGAATCATAAATTACTTTCTTTATGATTAGTTCTTAAATTAGAATTTCTTTTCATTTTTTATTGTTACTTTCATTTTTTTTCCTTTTAAACCAAATTTCAAAATGTTAAGTGGTTATTTGAGTTCTTAAACGAAATTCTTAATCAACAAATATTTTACAAACTTAAAATATATAATTGAAATTTATTTCAACACTTAGGAACAAAACCACTTGAAGACCTAAATTCCACTTAAAAAAACCTAAATTTAAACTAAAACAAAGAATTGCTTATCTCGCATTTCTTTTCTTTCTTATTTAAATATTGTAAACCTGTTTGGTTTCTGACCTTGTGTAATAATATTGTAATATCCTTAATTTCGTTCCTGACTAGTCAAATAGTGCTACTGGCTAGGCAGTAGGCTAACTATTAATCCTCAAGAGACAGCTAGTTATTATCAGCAGGATATGTAGGTTGTTAAGCATAACTCCCCCAAAACTCAACGGAATCCGGCCATCCTTTAGCAGAGAGGCTACGTTCCTGGGCATGATTCATGATTGAGAGCAGAACTGGAAGTCTAACATTATGGAAAGATCAAAGAAAGCAAGTATTGAACTTTACTCATATCCAATTTCGAAAAAAAATATGTTCAAATGTATTCAGCCTCGTAAAGTTGAATTATTATATTAAGCTCTCTTATTTTGAACAAATTAATCCATAATTGATATAAATTGATTTTATTTCGCAATGTAAGTTTTATTATTTATAATAAATTCTTTGAGAAACAAACTTCTATTGCATTTTATTTCTACAGAGTCGAACGTTGACAGGCAAGAGGTTCACATCGTAAAGATTGTCTTCTGAACAAAAGTAAAAATTATATTATATGCATAATATATATGCATATATATACATATATATCTATATTATATTTTAGTAAGTTTCATCATCATTTTCGTCAGACATTATAAACAACAACAAAAATATTTTTCTATTAGAAACATTAACAAAAATATTTTTCTATTAGAAACAACACCAAAAATATTTTTCTAATTTTTTCAAATTTGTCATCATAGTCTGCTTTGATTTTTACACATAAAATAAAAATTATAAAATTTTATGAAAACTTATAAAATTTTTATGAAAATTTTATTATATGAAAATTTGTCAAGCCTGCTTTGATATTTTCAATATGCAAATAACAAATTTTTTAAAAAATCTTGAAAAGTGGAATAAATTTTTCAGTCTTTTAAAATCATTTAAGTGATTAGATGTTTTTTTAAAAATTTCTAAGTAATTAAATATTTTAAAATATTTTGTCGTTGAGATGGCCAATAGAAGAAATATTAATAATATTAATAATAATAATAATAATAATAATAATAATAATAATAATAATAATAAAAGAAATATTAATGCTACATACTATCTGCATAGAGAGCAGAAGCGGGTCCGCTATTTGCAAAATCGTGATATTATTAGAGAGCAACGGCAAGCACATTATTCACAAAATCGTGAAAATATAAGGGAACAGCAGCAAGCACATTATTCACAAAATCATAAAAATATATAGGGAACAGCAGCAAACACATTATTCACAAAATCGTGAAAATATAAGGGAACAGCAGAAAGCACATTATTCCCACAATCGTTGATGCATTATACAATATGCACAACAACGCCGTCGTGTTGCTGTCAGATTTCATTTTAAATCTGGCATTATTGGATCAGAATATTTTATTAATCCGGGCACTCATAATCTTGGACCTTTAAATAATGAATGCGTTTATTGCAAAGCTGTTCATTTCAAAAACGAGCGCAAAAGTATGTGTTGCCATACTTTTGTGTAAAATATATCTTTTCCTGATTCATTGAAAAATTTATTTATCGGAAATGATGAATTGTCTAAAAATTTTAGGGAGTTTATTAGACAGTATAATAATGCAAATGCATTTGCATCGATGGGAGCCAAAATTGAACAAATTTCTGGCAATGGACCTTATAGCTATAAGATATCAGGTGAAGTTTATCATAGAACTTCAGAAAATATTGAAATTGATACATCATTACAACCAAATTGTGTTAGAGAAATGTCTCAGCCACCATCTTATGCTGAATTGTATGTTTATAATACAGATATTTCTCTTAAAGCACGAATGTTAAATTCTGCTAACGCCCAATGCTGTCGTGAAAATATGATTATCATTAGCACAGCAATAAATGAAGTCTCTCCTTATGCCAGTTGTTATAAAAAACTTCGAGAAGTTTATGATAAAGAATTATCTGAGAGAAGAGCAATTAATTTACCTATGAACAAAATATCATTAATTTTTATTGGAAATACCTATGATGATCAAAGAATATACAATGCTCCTCGAAATACAGATGATGTTGCTATCGTTTTTGTAGCTGATCGTGATGGAAATATACCTGCTCAACTTGATTTTTCAGTTCAACCAAATAGTTCCAATTCGTTAAAACGAATTAACATGCTATCTAAACATCTTGATCCGATGGTGTTTCCGCTCTTTTTTCCCAATGGCAATTTTGGATGGACCCCAAACATGTTATATAATGAACATTCCAATATACATATTCGAAATAAAATAACGGTATTGGAATTTTATTCGAATAAAATTGCAATTCGACCGAATCAATTTAATCCATTATTTTATGGCGAAAATTATTCCAACAGTATTTAGTGTTTGCATATGCCCGTTATGAGGCCAATAAGATTCATACGCAATAATCAAAAAACTTTACGTGTGGAATCTTATCAAGGTTTGTTAGATCATGTTAATGATTTAAGTCGCAATAATAATGCGCGTATTGGCAATTTATTTATTTTACCGTCATCTTTTATAAGTGGTCCACGTTTTATGTCTAAGTTATATCAAGATAACATGGCAATGGTGAGAAAATTTGGTAGGCCAGACCTATTTATCACCTTTACGTATAATCCCAAATGGTCTAAAATATTGCCTGAATTAAAGTCCTTTCAAAATTCTTCTGATAGACCAGATTTAGTTATTCGAGTATTTAATTTAAAATTGAAAGAGTTTTTAGATGATATTGTGAAAAAAAGAATTTTTGGTGAAGTAATAGCATATGTTTATGTAATTGAACATCAAAAACGGGGTCTTCCACCTGCCCATTGTTTATTTACTCTTTCGAGTCAAGATAAAATCAGAACCTCGGATGACGTTAATAGCATTATTAGTGCAGAAATACCAAGTCAAGAACAACACCCAGATCTATATACTAAAGTATTAATACATAATATTCATGGACCATGTGGTCAATTGAATCCAAATTCGATTTGTATGATTGACGAATCATGCACAAAAAATTTTCCTAAACCTTTTTGTTCAGAAACTGATGCATCTAATGATGGTTATCCAATTTATAAACGTCGAAATAATTCTAATGAAAGGCATTTCGTTCGTAATAATATTAAAAGATTTGTTGTTCCATATAATCCGTTTCTGACTATAAAATATAATGCTCATATCAATGTTGAAATATGTTCTACAGTCAAAGTAATAAAATATATTCATAAATATATAACTCAAGGACAAGATTCTGCTAGAATTGGTATTAGAGTAGATAGCGAAAATAATGTTCAAAACGTCGTAGAATATGACGAAATTAAACAATACTTAGATTGTAGATATGTAAGTTCGCAGGAAGCAGTTTGGCATATATTAGATATTCCCATTTATGGTCAGTTTCATAGTGTTGTCATGCTATCAATTCACTTAAAAGATGGCCAAAGTATATTTTTTGAAGAAAATCGAGATGAAAATGTTTTGAGACAAGAATCAGTTAGATCCACTACTTTAACAGCATATTTTGATTTAAATCGTTCAGATCCAACCGCCCATAAACTTTTATATTAAGATATTCCAAATCGCTATATATTTAAAGACAAAAAGTGGGTTAGACGCTCAGAAAAATCACATCATGGGGAAAAAGCAGTAGGTAGAATTATTGCTGTTTCACCAAAAAATGTCGAATTATATCATTTGCGATTATTCACGTCGAATTATATCAGAAGCTACATCTTTTGAAGAGTTAAAAAAATTTAACGGACAAACCTATTCTTCACACAAAGAAGTAGCACGAGTTAGAGATTTAATTAATGATTCTGGGGAATGGTATAACTGTATGAATGATACAGTAAGCTAAATGATGCCTAAAGCTTTACGATTACTTTTCGTTACCATTATTACCGACCGTATTGTGTAAACAATAGGTAGGTTATGTGATGGCAACAAATTTTGCATATCGAGTTTTCGGTGGGAACGTACTTCTCCATAGTAGGGAAGTGTAAATAAACTATGTTTAGCAACCTGTCGGTCTGTCGGTCTGTGTGTGCACGCGCGTATCTCAAGTTCGGCTGAACCGATTTTGATGAAATTTTATATGTAAGTTTATTTCCACCATGGCACGGATCGATAAACTTTTGGAATATATCAGGCCTCGGGAACTGCACTTTTTAGCGGGCCTGTTTTACATTTTTGAACATTTTGAAGAAAATATTCAACCGATTTACTTGAAATTTTATATATAAGCTCAGCTCGACCGTCCACGAAAATTCCTATGCTTTGAAAGAAATCAGGCATCGGCAACTAGACGTTTACTACGGGCCAAATATACATTTTTGCGTATATAAAAAGAAATAATCAACCGATTTCATTGAAATTTGATATATGAATTCCTCGTATTAAAACAATGAACATGTAAATTTTTTGGAAAGATCAGGGCTCGAAAACTGATCTGCGGGCCGATTTTACATTTTTCACCATATCTACGGAACGATTTGATGGAATTTCTTGAAATTTGATATTTGAGTTTTGGTTGTTACCGAAACTAACTGGCGAGCATTTCAGGGAATTCGAGTAGCACAACCGAAACTCTACAAAGAGCCAAATTTACATTTTTCTAGGTATGTTAACTATAAGCTTACTAATGTCCTAAAAATTGGAAACAAGAATTTAACAGACATTTTAATAATATTCTGTAACACTTTCATTTAACTAGACAATGCACAATGCGGTCGGTTATGTGCTGACCACATCAGATTTTTTGTGATTGTAATCCAACTTATCCTTTACAACTGTTTGAAGAATTCAAAAAACATATGATAGAGGATTTTATTCATGAAGGAAACAATAATGACCTATCTACAAAATTATGTATTCTGGATATAAAAAAACAAACTGAAAACATTGGTTTTGACTTTTGTGACTTATGTCCATTATCTATTTTAGAAGATATAAATTATGATCAAAATCCAGATAATATAGCTGTTGATAATACTACTGATATTTTATGGAATAATCTTAATGGTGATCAACTTTTAGCTCCAGATGCTATAATGAAATCCGTCCAAAATACAAATATTCAAAAATATTTTTATATCGATGGTCCAGGCGGTAGTGACAAAACATATTTATATCAGAAAACATTAATTGTAGCATGGATTGGAATAGCAGCAATTTTATTACCTGGAGGAATGAAGTGTCATTCAGCATTTAGTTTACCTTTAGATTTGTCAACAGTTAAATTTCCTCGACTTTCTCAATCTAAAAGAGAAATTTTAAAATCTTCAAATTTGCTTATTTGGGATGAGACACCCATGGCACCTGGCACCTTTGATGGATAACAAACTTCCTTTTGGAGAAAAAGTTGTTATTTTAGGTGGCGATTTTCGTCAAGTTTTACCCGTTGTACGAAAAGGCTCTCGGGGTACAGTTATCGAAAGTACAATTAAAAAGTCTATTTTATGGCAATACTTTTAAACCTTTAAACTAGAGCGGAATATGCGAGCTATTACTGATCCGAACTTTAGTCAATGGCTTTTAAACGTAGGTAATGGTGTTATTACTAAACCATCATCTGCTAAAACAAACTTTTCTATTAAAGTACCGAATTCATTTTTGTCAAACAATATAAAGAAATTTTTTAATATTATTTATTATTTCCGAATATTGTTTGAAAAGTCTGACGAAAATAATGATGACCAAACTTACTAAATTATAATATGTGTATCTACATATATGACTGTGTTTTATAGGGGTCACTAGTGTATATATATACCTAACAATAATATTAAATATTTGAAAATTTAAAATTGAATAATTACTTAGTAAAATAATTAATTATTAATTTATAAGTGTTAAGCAAAATAAGTGCAAACAAAAACAATAAAGATAAAAAAAAATAAATAAAAACTTATATGAAAGAACATATAAAGAAAATAAGATAAAAATAAGAAAAACGTGCCACAGTAATGACGTTGTTGTTACCATGCGAAATAAAAAAAAAAAACAAAATTCTCAACAAGAGACAAAACTCTTAAAAGCTGAGATATTAAGATTAAATGCATTACTTTCACAACTACAAAAGCAATTGCAAAACAAAAATATATCAAGCAGTTCAAAAAACACAACATATTACGAGGAATGTGATAATATTTCTATAAAATCATATTCAACATTATTTGATGATGATATGTGCAGTGATGATCAAAATCATTATGATAAAAATAAAAATAAAAGTAATAATAATAATAACACAAACAATCATGACCACATGCATAATAAAAAATTTGACAATCATATTAATAATAAAAATCATAAGAACAATAATCATAATAATAATAGTAATAATAACATCAATCATGGGCACATGAATAATGAAAAACAACAAAAAAAAATACCACCAATATATGTGTATGATAATCAAATTAATTTGATCACAAATCAAATTAAAAATAAAATATCAACTAATGATTTCAAAATAAGAAAAATTAGAACAATATAATAAAATCAAAACTGAACTAACAAAACTCAAAAAAGATTATTTCACTTTTACACCTATTGAAACTAAAAATAAAACATTAATCATAAGAGGATTAGACGCAGAAGATGAGCCATCCAAAATTTTGGAAACATTGAACCATATTGACATACCTGAAGTTAAGTTTGAAAGTGTTAAGCGTTTTGTTACAAAACATTCGAAACAAAATCAATATAATATATCATTATTTATTGTTCAAATATCACCATGCACAAAGATTAATGATGTAAGTAAAAAAACTAAAAATGATGTAAGTAAAGAAACACTAGTAAAAAATTCAAAACTATCACAGTGTACAAAATGCAAGCGACTCGGACACGCAGTCGTAAATTGCAATCTTAAAATAAGTTGCGTAAAATGTTAAGCAAATCATGAATCAGAGAAATGTGAGATCCCAAAAAGGTCAGAAAATGAAAATGAAGCCAATAATACCAAACATAAATTAAAATGTGTGCTATGCAAAAAAGATGGACATCCAGCATCTTACAGAGGTTGTGAAAAATATAAAGAACTTGTTGCCAAAGCAAAAAACTCAAAAAGGAATTTGAATGTAAGTAAAATTCAAACAAATAATAATACGTCTCAATTTGTGAAGCCAAATACAACATATGCAGCAATCACAAGAATAGTGCAGCAGGATGAACTTCAAAATTCACGACAATTTGAACCTCCATGGACAGAATTGGTAAATGAAATTTAATCAATTAATAAGTAATAAAATAAGTAAAATATATATATACTTATGATTAAACATAAGTAGGTATTGGGTGTCTTTGTGCTGGGAAAAAATCAGCCCATATCGCACGCCCCACTTTCACTTTCTTACTTCCTGGTATAGGTAGATGACCTGTTAAAGTGTGTCATGACCTGTATAACGGGTCGTTTATTTCCTGGTATAGGTAGATGACTTGTTTAAGTGTGTCATGACCCATGTACATATAAATGTAGGTCAAAGGTAAACTATAAAGTAGGTCAAAGGTTGCAAAGCAAGTTGTTTACTTGTCCGAGTTCAGCGTACTTGAGACTTTGCATGATTTGTTTACATGTGAGTTTCCTTTGCCGGAGTTGTCCAGCAGATAAGGAAATTTAAATTAAATATTTTAAAAATAGTATTAGGTAATCAGAAATATCAGAAAGTACGTATTTTTAATTTTACCTTGATAGTAAAAAAGGAAAAAACTTGTTATATTTACATTGAGGTACCTATAATTTTTATTTTCCTTCTACCTTAGTTCTTGTTATTGTATCTAGTTGCTTGCGCACCGCATTGTTTTTGTTTTTTACTATGCATAATTAAGAAATAGCAGGAATGTCTTATTGCTTACTTTTGCATAAGAAAAACAAGATGCATGAAATTTGTTGTTGTTGATGCAAATAGTTGCGTTGAAAATAAAAACAAATTCTTGTTTTCATTTTCTTTGATTGTACTTAAATACAAAAAAAAAAACTGGTTAATCAAAAAAAGTCTAGTTGTTAATACATTACGCATTTGTATTTTTCTTAAAGTAGAATGTTCTATAGAACGTATATACCTATAAATTACAAAACACATTTTTTTTCACTTTTTCTTTAATATAATTATGTATAGTACATATTTGTTCTTGAAATCTTTCTTTAAATATTTTTTTTCGATGACTACAGGTTAGAATTGCAGATATCACTGGTTCAAATATTTGTATAAGTCTTTGAAACCGGTTCCTATCTCGTGCAAGTTTTTCGTATATTCCTTTTCGAGCAATCCTGTAAGCAAAATCCCATGCATACATATAATGAATTTTTAATTTCAAGTTAAAGTGAACTTTTGTTTTCATATTTTTATTATGTAGTTAATTCAGTATTTTTTCCTTTATCAAATGTATGTAAATTTTTATTGCGTTTTTTACAGCACATCTTAATTTTTTAATTCCATTTTGTGCAGCAATAGGACATAAAGGCTTATAGTTTTCAATTTGTAATAATGATGGCATACTTTCAGTTAAATCCTCTATATTGGAGTTGTCAATGAACTGTTGTAACAATACCTTTTTTTGAATGC